TACTCTTAAAAATAAAGAAATATAAGTAATTTCAGAAGTAAATAAGATAATAAGCTTATATACTATCTTCTCTAATCTCTCTAATTCAATAATCTTTACTAATTCTTCCCTTCTTTCCTCTCGCATTTGCTACCCTACTACTTTATATTCCTCCTTCTGCTAAGAATTAGGCTAATTAGGCCATGCCATTAATAATTCATATATAAAAGAAGGGTATTATATATATAAAGAAGTAAATAAAAGTAGTAATAAATAGTATACTAATTATACTATCTATAAAGCATATATAAGAAAAGGTTAAGAATATAATAGAGCGATATATACTATCTAGTGCTTTAGTAAAACAAAGAGTTCATGATTTGAGCCTTATAGAGCAAGAAAGGAAGAAGAGAAATAATAGGAATAATAAAAGATTATTCAAAAATATAAAGAGATTTATATATATTAAGGGCAAGTAGATATTGTGGCAGATAACGAGGATGAGGTCAAAGTAGTTAATATACGGAATGTACAATTAGCCAAACCATAGAGGAAAAAGTATTAATAGATAATAGTATTATTTCCAGAGGACTATTAGAAGGTAAAGGCTCAAATGCGCTATACTTTCTATGATTTATAAGAGTAATGCATAGGGTTTAAGCTAAATAATAGTAGATTTTAGTAAAAAATTTGCGTATTACTGTTCTGTACATATTGCTATCCCTCACCTATAAGGCGTGCTAGGCGAATTATAGGTGGGAACTATTAAACTAGCTAAGTAATAAAGCTAGGGTCACGTACTTGCAATATAAACCAAGTAAACGATACTGAATTAACTACTATTCTATAGTGGTAAGTAGCCCGTATATATAGCCCTAAACCCCCTAAGTCACATGTACTAAATCCCTATACCAGCTGAACCGATTACAGCTATACAGGGTATTCCAGCCGTATATGGTATTCCAGCTATATAGGGTATTCCAGCCATACAGGGTATTCCAGCTATACAGGGTATTCTAGCCGTATAGGGTATTCCAGCTAAATAGGGTATTAAGCTAGTATATAGCCCTATAGCATTCGGTTCCAGGGCTTACTAAGCCTATTAGGGGCCTCAGGCCCCTAATTTCAACAGTCCCCTTACATACTACTAAAAATAGCCCTAAGAAAATAATTCCAAAAATCACCGCTTTACTTACTAAAGCTTCTAGAGCCTTAGTACCCAAAAATCAAAAACAGCCCTAAAAATAGCCCAAAGAACAGCCTGTAATTCCGTAATTACAGTACAAATAGCCCCTTAATATAGCACCTAAGGGCCGCAAGCGAGAGAGGCTTGGTAAGCATATTAGCTACTATTTCCTCAGTAGGGATATACTTAATAGTAACCTTATTAAAGGCTACTAGCTCCCTAATATAATAGTAGCGGACGTTAATATACTTGGTTCGGGTATAAGCTACAGGGTCCCTAGCCAGTACTATATAACCCTGATTATTGCTAAATATAGGGGTTGAGAGAGTAGTACCCAAATATTAGGTATATTCAAGCTCCCTAAGCAAAGCCCTGATTTACTACCCCTGTTTACTAGCCTCTAATAGGCTAATATACTCCGATTGGGTAGTAGAAGTGGCCACATAGCACTATTTAATAGAGGACCACGTAACAGGTCCCCTATTAAGCAGGTATAAGTGCCCTATAGTAGAGCGTCTGTCTACTATATCTCCTGTAAAATCTGTATTACTAAAGCCCTAAAGCTTAGGGCTTTTAGTATTCCCGATACCGTATGAGATATTATAATTTATAGTACCCTTCAGGTAGCGGAATACCCTTAGTATGGCATTCTAATACCATATAGTGGGTTCGGTATAGTACTGGCTAAGCTATCCAACCATATAAGTAATATTAGGGCGGGAGCCCTTTGAAACCCATATAGTACAGCCTATAGCCTCCTGGTACAGGCTCTAATTAGCCTATTCCTCCCCTAATTAGCCTGTAATTAGGGTATTCCGGTCGTTTACAGGGAGGTTTACAGGCTTAGCTTCCCCTAGCCTGAACCTCTTTATAAAGCCCGTAATATACTCGCTCTAATCAAGGTACAGAATGCGTTTCGTATAATCTCTATATACCCGAATACCCAAAATTAGGGCCATATTCCCCAAATCCTTGATTTCCTATAAGAAGGCTATTCCATTAATAACCTTCTGAATAGCCTATAGATCTCGGCCCAGAACTAGTATATTATTTATATAGAGCCCTATAATTATACTGCAATCTGCAGTAGTAAAAATACTCGGTTCACTAAAACAGGAACTAAAACCGAGGGTTTTGAGCCCTGTATAGGCTTTAATATACCACTTTCTCCCTAATTACTTAAGCCTATATAAGGAATTAAGCAGGAGGAGTACTAAGCCTTTGGTACACTTTAGTGCTTAAGGGGCCCGTATATACACCTCAGCATGGAGCTTAGAGCGTGAATAGGCACTAACTATATTAATTTAATATATTTCCAGGTCCTCGCAAGCCCCTAAAGCCAGTAAAATCCTTAGGCTTTTAGCCCTAATAATAGGACTAAAAGTCTCCAGGAAATCGTCCCCTAGAACTTGGCTAAAGCCTTGGCCTACTAGCCGAGCTTTATACTAATTAATTAGGCCCGTAGGAGTGTATTTAATAGTAAATACCCACTTATAGCCTATGGCTTTCTTTCCAGGAGGTAATAGTACCGGTTTCCAGGTATTGAGGGCTTGTAATTTAGTGAGCTCTTTACTAATTGCTTGCTTCTAATGGGCTCCATAAATAGGGTTATTTATAGCCTTAGTATAGGTTCTAGGAATCGAACGCTCCGTAATTACCGTATTCGCATGGTGTCCTATAATTGGTGGTTCTCCCTAATTAGGGGAATTAGGGTCCCCTGAATTAGTATCCCCTGAATCGGAATCCAAAGCCCCTATATCTACTACTATAGTATCCCTATAGTCCCCTGGAATGCTCTACCGGGGGTCAGGTAATAGGGCAGGAGAGTTACGTATACCCCCTGAATGCCCTATAATTACAGGAGCTTCAGGTACTATAGGCTGTTCCATTATAGCTTCCATTAGGTTAAACGGGACTGTTTCCTCCCTAATAAGCTCCTTATTCCAGTTCCATTCCAATCGCTCGTTTTCATAGAAAACAGGTATTATAGATACTATAATTTTCCCCTATTTAGGCTCATATAGCTTGTACTGTCTTAATATGGGCATATAGCCTATAAGACAGGCCTTAATAGCTATATTATCTATTTTTAAGCGATTTTCCTTAGGAACGTATATATATACTATATACCCGTATGCCCTAAAGTGCCCAATATTAGGGCGTTTCCCACTATAGGCCTCCTCAGGAATATTCCTATTAGGGCCTATTAGTGTCCGATTCCGTAAATAATAGGCTGTAATTACGGCTTCTCCCCAGAACCATATAGGGAGCTTGGCGTTTAATAACATGGCCCTAGCCACTAATATTAAGCTCCGGTTCAGGTATTCAGAAACCCTATTCTGTTTAAGAATATAGATAGTAGTATACTCAAACTATATACCATAGTTATCTAGTAATAAAGCCCCTAAGGACTTATATTCTGAGGCATTATTATAGTATATAGCCTTGATTTTATACCCTGATTCTAGCTTTACTAGGGCCTTAAACTGCAAAAACACAGTTCTTAGCTACTTCCTAGTTTTGGTAAGGTATACCCATAATTTCCGGGTATAGTTATCCGTAAACATAAGCATATAGATGTCCCTTTCTAGTATGGGTATACTATAAGGGCCCCAAAAATCACTGTGGATCCGTTCTAGTAGAGCTATAGCCCTCTCAGGGGCCTTCCGGTTTATTACCCTTACTATTTTAGCCTTGATACAGGGCTCGCAGGGCTCCTAAAGAGCCCTAATTGGCTCTTTAAGCCCTATAGAAATAGTGTATTCCAATTTTAAGCTTATAGAGCTTAAATAGCCAAAGCGGCAGTACCAGAGGTAGTTACTAGCTTGGTTTTCCGGTATAGTGGTTGCTTTTAGCCTAATATTAGTACCTTATAGGATACTATCCAGGGCATATACTCTCCCTAAGCGGCTAGTAACCCCTATTACTATTCCCTGAAACTCAATTAAGAGCTTCTTTCTAGTAGAACCAGTAGTAGTACGTATAGTAATACCCTTATCCTAAAGCTATAGTACCGAAATTAAGTTCCCAGCGAGCTTAGGTATATAAAGCACTCTAGTAAGCTTTATAGTTTGTATAGAGGCCCCCAGGGCTACCTGTAAAAGCATAGTACCCTCCGCAATAGCCGGAATACAGGCCCTATTGGCCGTAGTTACTAGTATAGGAGTGTCTAGTACCTTATACTCAGTAAAAGCCTCCCGTAAATAAGTCATATAACGGGAGCCTCCAGAATCAATTACCTATAGCAGGTCGTTTCTGCTATAAGTAGGCTCTACTAGAGCCATCCAACTGGTTTCAGTACTACTAGCGTTTGCTATAGGCTTCTTAGTTGATTTTCCAGGCCCTGGAGAGAGTTCTCTGCCTCCTCCAGGGGTTACTAAGGGTCCTGTACTAGGGCTCTTTTCCTGATTTTCTTGCTTCTCTCCCTTCTTGCTCCTGCAATCAGATTTTCTGTAGCCTTATTTACCATATTTGAAGCACTTCCCCTGAAATTTAGGGCTTTTTTTTCTTGTTTTAGCTAGTAAAACAGATTCCTTTAGGGCTTCTTTTGGTCCTATTCTCCGTTCGTACTCACTAAAGCAAGCTACTATTATACTATAATCAGTGGTACTCCCACTAATCTCTAGCTATAATATTAGGGAGCAAAGCACTTATCCAGTACCCTAATGGCCCCAAAAAGGATCGATATTTTGAGAGCTTTAGAGGGCTTTTCCGTAGGATCAATGGTTCCGATTTCGTACTATAAAGTACTCAATTCTATAGCTACCACAGCAATAGTAGCACCCCGTTCCGGTGGCTTATAGCTAGTAAAAGCCTGAATTTTGGCACTAAGCTACTATATGCCCAGGGGGGCATATAAAGCTTTTAGTACATCCCATTGCTCCCTGGCCGTTCCAAGAAGTAATATATGCTGTAAGGCTCCCTGAGTACATAAACTCATAATTATAGTACTCGCCTTAGCGTCCTTTACCTCCGTATAATCACTAGAAGGCCCTAAGGCCTTAGGATCACTCCTATCTCCAGAACCCCCTATAGAACCCGGTTCTACAGTAGCAATTTCCACCCCTAGGCTAACCACGTTCCATAGGCTTTGACTAATCAAAAGCCTACGTACCTGAACGCTCCAGGGCCTATAATTGGGCCCTGTAAGCCTGGCGATCCGGGGCTTTTCCACACTAAAGTCGTCTTCCATAGTATACTTCTGTGAGATATTTCCGGTAGGTACAAGTGAGCCGATTCAGTAATTTATAGTACATAGAGGTAGCTTCCGGTGCTCATAACCTGTTAAACTAGCTAAGTAATAAAGCTAGGGTCACGTGCTTGCAATATAAACCAAGTAAACGATACTGAATTAACTACTGTTCTATAGTGGTAAGTAGCCCGTATATATAGCCTTGAACCCCCTAAGTCACATGTACTAAATCCCTATGCCAGCTGAACCGATTACAGCTATACAGGGTATTCCAGCCGTACATGGTATTCCAGCTATACAGGGTATTCCAGCCGTACAGGGTATTCCAGCTATACAGGGTATTCCAGCCGTACAGGGTATTCCAGCTGGACAGGGTATTAAGCTAGTGCACAGCCCCATGGCGTTCGGTTCCAGGGCTTACTAAGCCTATTAGGGGCCTCAGGCCCCTAATTTCAACAGGAACCGCCGAACGATTAGTCAGGTGAGAGTCAGGTAACGACGTGGAATCGTTACCATCCACTAAGAATATTCTAGATTTATAATATAGTACAGTACACTTAGAAATCACATAGAAATAATTTATTATTTAAAGACTAATTCCCCCAGCCCCTCTTTTCCAAAGTTTAAAAGTATAAAGAGTATGAATTACTTGACTCCGTCGGCACCCTAGTTGAGCAGCAGCTGGATGACCTCGTGGTGCTTATCCTTAGAGGCCTGGCGCAGCGGCGTCTATCCGTTAGAAGCAGCTGCCTCGACATCAGCCTTCTTCTCGAGCAGTAGCGTCACGACGGCCTCGTGCCCGCTCTCAGTGGCTAATGACGGCGGCGTCCGGCCATAGTATCCTTATTCTTGAGCTTGGCGCCGCGGTCGAGCAGCAGCCTCACGACGGCCTCGTGCCCGTTCCAAGCAGCCCATGACAGCGGCGTCGAGCCAGAGAAGGGATCATTAGTCTTGAGCTCGGCGCCACGGTCTAGCAGCAGCCTCACGACGGCCTCATGCCCGCCCTCAGCAGCCCATGACAGCGGCGTCAAGCCAGAGAAGGGATCATTAGTCTTGAGCTCGGCGCCACGGTCGAGCAGCAGCCTTGCAACGGCCTCATGCCCGTTCTGGGCAGCCCACGATAGCGGCGTTAGGCCACTCGTATCCTTAGTCTCGAGCTCGGTGCCGCGGTCGAGCAGCAGCCTCACGACGGCCTCGTGCCCGTTCCGGGCAGCCCACGATAGCGACGTTAGGCCACTCGTATCCTTAGTCTCGAGCTCGATGTGGTCATTTGCAGTGGCGTAGATTAATGGTGTCCAGCCATTCATGTCTGCTAATATGGGCGAGAAGTCCCTAACCTCGCCATTGTTTCTTTTTGAGTCGACTTTAATGCTCTGGGCGGGAAATAGCTGCTGCCGTCCCGCTTGTGACTGCGGCTTCCGATCTCCAATATTCTTTTCACTCTCCTCGACCATAGCAACCTTTGCTAGCAGGAGCCTCACAATGGCTACCTGACCGGATCCAGCAGCCCATGACAATGGTGTCCGACCATTCTCATCCTTGGAATTAAGCGCGGCACCTCTCTCGAGAAGATATTCAACTATTTCTTCTTGCCCACCTTCTGCTGCCAAGGAGAGTGACATCCGTAAATCATCCTCTGAACTCGATTCAATACTCTTCCTATCCAAAAGATGCTTAATAATAATTTTGAGCCCTCGCTTCGCTGCATGCAATAGAAGGGTCTTCTCTTTGACCTCCCTCTCTAATATAGCTATATGCTCAAGCCATATACCTTTGAGGGAACTTGAGTAGCTTATTTCCACGACTACTGTAAGGCATCTTTCCCCATGAAGTAATAGAACTCGCTTCCTAATCGCAATATGTACGTGCTGCCCACTAGCTAGCACTTTCACAATTCGATCTTGCTGTTTTTGTGCTTTTTCGAGGACATTCCGATCCTGGATCCGGTGAACATTTGTTATACTGGCAGATATATCTGCTGAAAGACATCCTCCATATTTGCTCAATAGTATTTGAAAAAGATTTCTATCTTTGCATATAAACACTAGTCGACCTAGAAGTCCATCGGAAATAGCTGCCATATTCATAATCATAAGTCCGTCGGAGAGGTTGCAATTAGAATCGAAATTGACGATGCAGGAAGTGGCCTCTTGTGCATCTATACCTGCTAGCTTGACTACGCATTTCTCCATGTCTTCCCAATTCCTGTTGCGTATTGGATGCCATTGCTGGACATATATGGGCATTAAAGGATATTGTGAAGGGTCGATTATTTCTAGGTCAATGAGTTCAAGCGTCGTACTTTGCTCCCTTACAAAATCTTCGTTCGTAAGGAATATATCTTTTAAGTGAAGGGCGAATCGCGTTCTCTCTTTCCCTATCTCTGTATAGTGAAGAATAGCAAGTCCTTTCCCTTGTTGGCCATTGTTGATAAAGCGAAGTAATAGATGAATTCCTCTGCTACTCAGTGTTGAAGGACTGCTTGTGGCATAGGCAGGACTGACTGGGATAATATTGCCGGAGTCAGTGAACGCAGCTGGTGAATTTGCGAGAATTCCTCCATGATCCTCTTTTGACCTCCAAGCGAAGAGACTATGATCATCAGAGACCCTCATAATCTCCTCTTAAAGTCTAATAAACGCTCTCTCTCCTTCTCCATAGAGCATAGGCATATATATACCGAATAAACCCATCAAATAGTAGGCAAGATCTTTAATCCTTGTTGTTTCTCTCTTCGAAGCCCATGATATTCTTTGAGTAATGCTGGCATGCCTTAAATCATCCCCTAATAAGAAACTGTCAGGGATTCCAGTAATCTTAGATATGTCCCGTTGTAGATTTAACTTAGTACCGATCTCTTGCCATTCGTTATCGAGAAATATTACCGATGATGGTGCAATCAGCTCTTGGAGAGTCCATCCCCTAGTAAACCATCTGCTTTTCCGGAACTCGGGGCCTGTAATACTAGTCGTTCGATTAACGGAGCTGTGTGGGACGTCTGCTAGGTATGCGTAGCATTCTTCGGCTTCTTGGTACCAACGATACATAGAGTTGAGTGCTTCTGAGAGTTCTGCACTGCTCGTCTTATCAATACAGCACGTATTAATCCAAATGTAGTCGAATCCGTCTTTCGCAGCTATGAAGCAGGCTTTTGAGACCTTTTTGTAGCCTTGAAGTTTCGTTGCCTCAATCGTCTTGAGATTCTGAAGTGTAACTTCCTCCTCTCCCCACGTGTGCGAAAGAATCGCGTACCCTGGTACCTCTCTAGGGCTAAATTCTCGAAGTTCTATACTTTCTGTATGAAGGAGACGCATGGTTATAACCTGGAGGCGAAAACGCGGTGGTATAGCTCGGGCGATTGATGAATTCCTTGAGAATCTAGCTATCAACCTAGATTAAGATGAACTTTTCCGCTTTTGCAAAAACCAAGGGTTGCCGGGTCGTAAGGATTAATTTGATCCTTGGGGAATGAACGGAGGATGGAGAGAGGATGTCGTTGCCGCCTACACAATTTCGTAGCCTTACGCTCAAAATAGAGTCGAGGTTCTCTTTCAGGCAAGAGAAGAGTCTGTTACAGAGATTGCATCGATGTGTGACGCTGTGGATCCATTCTGTTGTACACACGAGAAATCAAGAAGAAGTGAAAAAACGAAAGAACGTTGCCTTGCTAACTTCTCTATATGTTGTCTGAACTCAGCCTCGCTGGGCTGATTTCTTGCTCGCTAGCAAGATTGACGCTTTGGCCACATCAACCCAGTGCATAACCGTCCACAGATTGCAGCGACAACATTCGCGATATATTCTTGCAGCTAACGCGAGTATCTGCGGTCTTACAAAACGTTTACTATAAATCCGCCTATTCTGTATACTCGGGAATGCTTTTGATCGAATTTAGAGAGAGTCGAATTATTTTGATGGGGTCGCACGGGCCTTTGGACAGTCACGTTACTGCGTGTCTTCTGACGAATGAGAATGCTCTAAGAGGATCACGTGCTGTGAAGTCGAGGAAGCTGCCTCCTACGGAAAGCCGTAAGGATCAGAAGACCAAGCGATTTTCGAATCTGGTTTTCGACCTTTGATATCCACCACAGGCATGCGGGATTAGTCAGCTTACCCCCTTACGGGGCCAGTTCCTTACGTACCGTCCCCGCCCCGTAAGGGCACCTCCCTGGCTAAGGAACTGCATAAGGAACCGCACCAAAAGTTTACCCTAATTATTGGGGCTCAAGATTAACCCTAATTATTGGGGCTCAAGATTAACCCTAATTATTAGGGCTCAAGATTAACCCCAATTATTTGGGATCATAATTAGCCCTAATTATTAGGGCTCAAGACTAACCCTAATTATTTGGGATTATAATTAGTCCTAATTATTAGGGCTCAAGATTAACTCCAATTATTTGGGATTATAATTAGCCCCAATTATTAGGGCTCAAGATAGCCCTAATTATTTGGGCTTATAATTGGCCCTAATTATTAGAGCTTATAATTAATCCTAATTATTAGGGCTTAAGATTAGTTCTAATTATTAGGGCTAAAAATCTATTCTAATTATTTGGGTTTATAATTAATTCTAATTATTTAGGCTTATAATTTATTTTAATATTATATAAAAAATAAAATAATTTTTATTTTATTTTTAAAATATAATTTTTTATAATTAATTTTTTTATATAAATACTTTATTAATAAAAAACTAATATTCAAATTTAATATAAATAAAAAAATTTAAAACTAGTATTAAAATCTTATTTAATATATATACTTTTATAATTTCTTTTTATTTAATATATAATGTTTTTTCTTTAATTTAAATTAATATATATTTAATAAAAATTAATTTTAATATTTATTTTAAAATTAATTTTTTTAATAAATATAATATTTTATTTATAATTATTAATAATTATTAAAGCTTTACTTTTTTTTAAATAGCTTTAATAATAACCTTTTTAATTATTTAAATAAAATACTTTTTTTTAAAAAAAAAGAAATAAAATAATAATTTCTTTTAATTAGCTTTTATAATTTTATATATAATAATAATAAATATTATTATTTCCTAAAAAGAAAATTAAGCTATTTATAAATTATTATTATTAATAATAAAATCCGGCTATATTATAATTATTATAGTTATTATAATATATAATACTAGTAGGAATTAGACTAAAGCTAGAGGTATCTGGTATCTAAGTAAGGTATTTATAGTTACCTAATTATTATATATAATCCCGAGCTTAAGCTAGTATATAGGCCCGTATATAGCTTGTAATTATTTAGATCCGAGGCTTCTTTAAGATCTTCTTCTCTTTTTAGCTTTAAATTATTAAAATAGAGATAGTCTAATTATATCTTTTAGGCTCTAGATCTTATACTTATAATATAATTTAAAGCTTACTTATTTCTTAATTCTATAAAAGATTTAAATAATACTTATCTAATAAGTTTTTAATAAATATAGATATAATATACTATAGCTACTTCTATACTAGTTAACTAATATTAGAATAAAAGAAAGCCCTAGAATAACTAGGTAAGAAAGGCCTGAACTAGCTAGATAAGCAGATAGGCTAGTAACCTTATTACTAGATAAAGATCTATAAAAAAGCAAGTTCCGGAATAACTAGGCAAGTTAGAAGAAGCTATAATATAAGATACTACTAATATATTACTAGAAAGTAAACTAGAGCCTCTTATTAAGTTTCTTAAGAGGTTCGAATATCCCGTTAATACTTATAATAAGAGAGATACTTTCTTTTAAAGAGCTAAAGAAGAAGAGGAACCTGCCTTATTAAAGGCAAACTTCTAAGAATTACTTTAGAACTCAAAGGCTTTATATAAGAAGATTATTAAGCTAATTCTAAAGATATATAATATTCTTACTTATAGCGAGAATTATTATAATTAGTTAAGAGAAACCAAGCAAGCCCTATAAAAGAATAAAGCCATTATTAAAAAGCTTATTATATAGCTTATAGAAATAACTAGTTCTCTTATTCTAGAAAATAGATATTTAGTTAAATTCTCTAACTCTCCTATCTTTAAAAATATAACTAAGGATAGTATTACCTTTAATAATTAGTTAGTTTAGATTAAGAATAAGCTCTATAATAACTCTAATACTTATTAGATAAAGAACCTTAAGATTATTTATATTTCCGGCTATATAAGGGGCTATATTCTTATACTAATTTCTTTTTACCTAAATCAGGATAGTTAATATATATATAAGACTATTAGAGAACTATATACTTACCTAAAGAAGCTATATAGTAACCCGAATAAGAAATATAATACTTAGTAAGCCTTTAAGAAACTATTTATAAAAAAGAACTAGATTTTTTAGGAATTTTATATTCTATTTCTGAGATATATAATAAATAAAAATATTAACTTATAGAACCTTAAAAATAACCTAAATAATAAGCTTACTTAAAAGCTTTAAAAGGCTATTTATATTATAGAGTTTATATAATATTATATTATAAATAACTAGTAAATCCGAGCTTATTATAAAAAGAAAGACTAGATATCTAAAAAAGCTAATAAAGATATAGATAAGCTAAGCTTAGGAAGCGCCCCTTATATAAAGCCTACTTTTAAGACCCTAGTAATAAATAAGCCTATTATCTTAAAGCTCGAATTCTTAGATCTCAAATATTATAATTATAATAGATTTAGTTATATATCTAGAAACTATCTAGAGTCTAAAATAGAATATATAAAGTAAGTCTTAGTAGCTAAGCTAGTAATACTTATTATAAGTAAGCTATCTAAGAATATAGAATAAAGAAATAAGAATTTCTAAAAAGGTCTTTTTTTTAGGGCTATATTATATAGATATAATAGAAGTTAATTTAAGCTAGTTACTAGGAAATAAAGCATTTATACTTTCTTATATAATTAGTAATAATAAATTAGGTATTAAGACTTCTTCTTTTATTAATACCAGAATAAATAGATATACTTTTATTAATTTCAAGTTTATAAAAATAATTAAATAATTTCTAGATATTAAACTTACTTAATTAATATTGTCTTATAATATAAGAGAGTTTAATAATAAGTAGGCTATATCTATTACTTATTATATTAAGCTTATATTCTTAATTAATAAATAGAAGGTTTTAGTATCTATACTAGTTATAGGGCTAAGTAAGTATAATATAATTTTGAAATAATAATAGTTTATAAGTACTAGTATTCTAATTAATTATAAGAATAAAAGATTAATCTGGCTAGATAATTAGCCTAGAAAGAAAAATTAGGATAAGATTCTAATTACTATATATAAGAACTTGGAACCTGAGAAAAGTAACTAGTACTAAGAAAATATAAATAGAAGAAATAAAGCTATAGCTATAAATAAGTCCTAGAGACCTTAGCTTATAAAAAGGAAATCCCTTTATTCTTTTCCTAAGCCAGACTTAAAAAGCTATATATAATAAAAGAATTAAGCTTAATATTATAGAAAAATATAAGTAGCTTTAGGGAATATAGAAGTTTCTTATAAGCTAGAAACAGGGATATTAAAGCTATATTATCTAAAGGAAAGCTATAAGATCTAGTTAAGGCCTATAATTAATATTATAGATATCTTACTAGTTACTTTCTAAATAAACTTATAGAAAAAAAAGAACTTTTTCTTTATAATATTATTTTTCGAGATTAATAAAGAACTAGAATTATAGTAAAAGAATAAGTTTATTCCGGGCAAGCAATAGCTAGAAGAGATAGAGTTATAGTAGCTAGTAAGAGTTTTACTAGAAAAGTTTAAGAATTTTATAGATGTTTTCTTAAAAGAAATATTAAATATCTTATTTCTATATTAGCTATATAACTATAAGATTTAGATTAATAATCCCAAAGGCCCGAAAAGCCTAGGGTATTTCCTGTTTTATTAATAGTTAACCTATAAGCTATAGGAAATTAAGTATTTCCTTAAAAAGAATCTCTAATAAGGCTTTATTAAGCTAAGTAAGTTCTCTTTTATATCCCTGATTTTCTTTATAAAAAAGGCTAATAGAGCTCTCTAATTCTGTATTAATTATTATAAGCTAAATAACTTAATATAAAAGAATTTTTTTTTCTCCTTATTTATAAAACCCTTATATAGCTAGCTTAAGTCAAGGTTTATATAAAGCTAGATATCCGGTAAGTATTTTATTAGATCCAAATAGATCTAGAATTAGAAGAACTTATAATATTTTATATAAGATATAGGACCTATAAGTATAAAGTTCTTTAGGAAAGCCTAACTAATAACCCTATTATATATTAGAGATATATAAATAATATTCTTTTTAATTACCTTAATATCTTTTATATAGCTTACTTAAATAATATTCTAATTTACTTAGATAATTCCCTGAAATATAAAGACTATATATAAAAGGTTCTTTAGTAGCTATAGGATACTAGCTTTTAAATAAATATTAAGAAATTAGAATTTAAGATTATTTATATAAAATACCTAGGCTTTATTATTTTTACTAGAGATATTAAAATAAATCTAGATAAAATAGTAATTATTAAGAACTAGTAATTACTAAAGATAATTAAAGAAATATAAGACTTTTTAGGCTTTTATAATTTTTATTAGTATTTTATTACGAAATAAAGCTATATAGTAAAGTCCCTAATAGCTTTAATATATA